CGCCTACCCTAGGGACTGATGTGCCTGCGCCTCGCCACAAAACAAAACAGCCCTTTGTCTCCCAAGCGAATACGCCCGAACGCCTAGGCCTTCCAGGCGAACCTCGCGACACACAACACATGCTCTCAAGCACAGCGGTCGATGATGCAACAGACACGTATAAACAAAGAGACACTCGACGCTCGAGGCTTCTAAACCTGCTGCGCCTTGACCATTTGAACGAGCCCGAAGTAAAAAACGTAAAAGAACTACTGAACGAATTCAGCGACTTGTTCCACCTACCCGACGAACAACTACAATGTACCTCAGCGACCAAACATCGAATAACTACCACCGACAACACTCCAATTAACACCAAACAGTATAGATATCCGCCAATACACAAGGAGGAAATTGATAAACAAATTCAAGATTTGCTAAAAAACAAGGTTATCAAACCTTCGAACTCACCATACAACTCCCCCTTGTGGATTGTGCCCAAAAAGGCCGACACCCAAGGTAACAAGCGTTGGCGAATGGTAATAGACTATAGAGCGCTAAACGAAAAAACCGTGGGAGACGCGTATCCGCTCCCCAACATAACCGAAATACTCGACCAACTCGGCAGCGCGAAATATTTCAGTATATTCGACCTCGCTTCAGGCTTCCATCAGATCGCGATGCATGAGGACGATGCGCCAAAAACAGCCTTTTCCACGCCCCATGGGCACTATCAATTCAATAGAATGCCATTCGGTCTGAAAAACGCGCCAGCTACCTTTCAACGCCTCATGGATCAAGTTCTGACCGGCCTGCAAGGAACCGAACTGTTCGTCTACCTCGACGACATTGTTATATACGCGAGCTCACTCGAAGAGCACTCAGCCAAGTTTGCGAAGCTAGCACAACGCTTACGCGTCGCGAATCTTCATCTACAACCGGACAAATGCGAGTTCCTGCGAAAAGAGGTATCCTATCTCGGACACGTAATAGGGGAAAACGGGGTAAAGCCCGACCCTAAGAAAATTATCGCGGTTAAAGACTTCCCACGGCCAAGAAACGCGAAAAACATAAAACAATTCTTAGGCCTAGCCGGTTACTACCGGCGCTTCATACAAAATTTCTCCAAAATAGCTAGACCACTAACATCCCTGTTGAAAAAAGACGCCAAATTCACGTGGAACGAGCTACAAGAACACGCATTTGTCTCGCTCCGCAACTCGTTATGCACGGAGCCGATCTTACAATACCCGGACTTTACTAGACCGTTCGTCGTCACCACGGATGCGTCCGGATATGCGATAGGCGGTATAATCAGTCAGGGACAGATAGGCAAAGATCTCCCCATCGCATACGCCTCTCGACTCTTAAACGCAGCGGAACAAAATTACTCGACAATCGAGAAGGAACTCTTAGCCATAGTGTACTGTGTACAACATTTCCGTCCCTACCTCTACGGTCGCAAATTCAACCTGGTCACGGACCACAGACCACTAGTGTGGCTGCATTCTGTGAAAGATCCGAGCTCGAGATTAGTCCGTTGGCGATTAAAACTTCTCGAATACGAGTACGAAGTCACATACAAAGCAGGTAAAGTTAATGCTAACGCAGACGCCTTGTCCAGGAACCCCGCCGAAATACGCCTATTCCCCCTCGCCCCTGAACTTGACGTCTCCAGTTCCGATGAATCCATCTTTTCCCCGCGACCCGACCAACAACGACGAGAAGAGAATTCGCGAGACCAACCGCCAGACGCACACGACCCCGACGATCACCACGACGATCACCCCGACGACTCAGAAACCGACACCGATGACAGCAGTACAACAGACAGCGCGTCCAGCCCAGAAACCGAGATATTCGATCAAGTAAATGAACCATACGTACTGCGTAACGAAAATATAACCGAGATCAAAGACAATTTCCTATTGCGAAAGGACCACAAGGCCGTATTCGTCACCCAAAAGGGCGACCCCTGCGATAAAGGAGCTAGACTGCTCCAGGAACATGACTTGCTACCTGCGTTACGCAGCCAAACACTGGGAAGAGCTAGTGTAACGACGGAGAAGGAACCAAAAATCATATCCCTGGTGATCAAAGAGCGTAAAATCACGCAACTAGACATAGAGATCCTTCGCGAGGCCATACAATCCCTACGAGATGTCTGTCAAGAGCTTCAACTCAACTCCGTGTCACTATGCAAGGGCGACTTAGAAAACGTACCTTCCGACACCATCCGCAACCTGCTGCAACAAACATTTGAGGGCGACCCGACCAAAATCCTCCTATGCAACAACCAAATCCAAGTACCACCCCCGGGAGATAGGAGAAGGATTCTAGAGGAATGCCATTCCAGCATGATCGGAGGACACAAAGGAGTGACAAAGACGTACTTGCGCATCAAGGAAAAATATCAATGGCCCAATTTGAAGGAAGAAATACAGGAATTCATCCGCAACTGCAGAAGTTGCCAATTAAAGAAACTAGTAAGAGTAAAAACAAAGCAGCCCATGGTCATCACGGACACCCCAAAGGAAGCGTTCGAGAAAATCTCAATGGATATCATGGGCCCACTCCCCACCACTTCCTCCGGCAATTCCTACATCCTCACAATACAAGACCTACTAACCAAACACTCCACCGCCATCGCGCTGAGACAAGCCTCCGCGTTAGACGTAGCAGACGCGTTCGTAAACAATTTCATCTGCCTATACGGCGCACCAAAAGCAGTTCTAACCGACCAAGGCTCTCACTTCATTAACAGCCTCATCAAGATATATATCTTATTTCGAATATATTACTATAGAGGGTGATCCAGGTGCATTAATTTACTCACTGTTGGAGGATTGGATACAGGTGCAGTTATCCGCGTTGGAACAGTATCAGGTTGTTGGAGCTCTACCCCTTTGGAGCTACCAGGAAAGTCTGTGGAGAGAATGGAGCTCAATTATTAGAGCTGCCAGAAGGATTCTTAAAATTTAAATTCGTTCTAGAGCATCAACATGCGGGCAAAGCGGCCTGACATAGGAGCTCAACGACGCATGGAGCTGCCTGATTATGGCTCGACAATGCATGGTGCTACCAGATCCGATTTGTATGGAATGCAAAGGGAATGTTATCCTGAAGGGAGTTTCTGATAGATAAGTTGCGAGGAAACCGGGAGCTCGACAACGCTGGGAGCTGCCTGGTTAACAAGGATATTTTAGAGCAAATTAATGAAAATGGGTCCCTACTGCGTTACATGGCGTGTGCAATTAGGCAGAGTATATAAAAGCGTGATATATATATATATTCAATAAATTATTTATGCTTTAAAAGGTTCCACCTTTCAGAGGTCAGCCAAACTAACCAATGACCTTTGTAATTGTCTGTTGTGTCAGCCCCTTGTACAAGGGAACGAGAAAATATTTTAAATCTATGATGCGTATAGAATAACTTACTTTTAACAATGTGGCGCCCGAAGGGGCGGTTAGTGAGAATAAGTGAAGGACCTTTAAATGGCGCGAGACTGTCTGTCAGCTTGGGACCTCCAGGAGCGACCGACTGGTTCGGCTATCGGGGACTGACTGACTCTCTGACTTCTCTATTCTCAACTCGTCAGGTCGGGGATATAGGTGTGGAGGGGAAAAGGCTCTGGTAGGGATATCCGCTTATGGGAGGATAGTAGAAAGAGAGAGAGAGAGAGAGAGAGAGAGAGAGAGAGTCGCTCGGAGATGATTTCATGCATGAGTTATCATGAATACTTCCGTTGTTATCTTTGTCCTTCACGTATTCTTTTACATATATTTTTACGCTGCGCATTCTTATAAATATCGATTAAGTGTTCTTGGAATGGTAGGTTAAATAACATTTTATGACGCTTATCTATTGAAGCTCCGCACGAACTTTTGCACACAATCAGTACATTTTGCTCCTTTTCTCGGTGTTCTATTCGCTTTTTCGGGAAAGTAAGTGTAATACTATTAGTTTTATTGCCGTTGCGCGTCACATGGCGTCGAGATAATCCATAGTTAATAATGTAAATTTTAGGGGAACGAAAAAATGTTTGGTGATTTTGTTAGCAAGAGGGATCATTGGTATCTCGAGGTGTTGTTACTTCAAAGACGAATACAGTGATATGCATTATGTTGGGTTTCTGGCTTGTAATAAATTTATTATATTTTTTGCAATTAATTATTATTAGCTGTTGATGTACTTCTTTTATGTGTTTTCTATCCGTTGTGTGAAACAGAATATTATGCGGGTAGCGTGATTTTTCGCGCTCTATTGGTTAAGCTGTTATTCATTTGTTAATTAGTGTATGTGTAATTTCGAACTGTTGATGAAATGTTAGAGGATTTTGTGTTCTGGAAAAGTTGTTTTATAATATTAAAGGAATTTTGTGGGCTTATTATAATGAGCATCTGTTATTTGTCATATTTGTTATAAACAATAACCTCAAATTTTAAATAATAACTAAAACGTTATTTCTCTTTATTTATGACTACACTCCGATATCTTTATGGTAAGGTGGATCCGCGGTGATTTGATTGTTATTTGTCTGATTGTTTAAATTAACAAATTAAAATATTGCAGCTACCTAATTTTCGAGTTCGGGGGTACCATATTAAGAGTGTCCGCTGTAATTTTATCGATAGTGAAAATTCAAAATTTGTTTGCAAAATTATTTTGTTTATTTATAATTTCGTCATTTTCATGCTCCAGGGGTGATATCAGTATTGTTCCTGAGGTTTTTAAGACCAAAGAAAAATAATTTCCTTATTTTGCACTGATTTTGGAATTTTAATTTTCAGTGATATTTTTATATAATATGGAGCGTTAGAGGTGTGTGATTTGTTAATATCGTTGTTTTTATTGCGTACCTTTACTTGGGTATTACTTTATTGAAATTTTGTCCAATTCTGAATCCTATTTTATATAGGGATATGCTTGATAGGGGAGTGGTGATTCTAGGTTTATGCTACGTTCATGTCTGTTATCCAATCCTAGGTGCTAGTTCCATGCGGGGATATTTGCTCGGCGTTAGTGCATATAGGTGGTAGTAGTTATCTGAGGGAGGGTGTTTAGCTATTTCGAGGTTGGTTACTTGTCGGTTCCCATTTTATGTGCTCATAAGTCAGCTGTCAGTTGCGAATGATCAGTCGTGTATGTAAGAAAGAAAGAGGAGAAAATATGTATCCTTTCCGTCAACGTTTTCCTCGGCGAAGGTACTTCCGACCGGTGCCGGCGATAATAGTAAGTATATGTCAGGGTGTTGCATGCATGGATGTAAGCTCAATTGGATGCACATTAGGATATTTGGTTATACTACTAAGGTATGTTACTACAGTGCTTCTGCAATGGGGATGTGACCTTGAAGACAAATATTCAGATTCCCGGTCTGCTGTCTATCCGCGAAATGACGGAGGTGCGTTGGAAAAGGAGATGGAGGAGGAGAGAGGCAGCCGACTTTTGGCTATATGGTGGTTTGGATATGAGCCCTGACCCTGATGCCTACGGTCTTAAAAATTTGTTCGGGTAAATAAAACTTATCCCGATAAGAAAAATAAGAAACATTTTTAATTGGTAATTATTTTGTTCGTTACAGGGAGCGAGCATAATGCCAAGATCGACACGTATAGGTGTTATGCGTTAATATTGTAATGCCTGTACAAGGATTTTTATACAGTATAATTATTTTCAATTAAATTTGCGTTACTACTTGTTATACTCCCTCCCTTCTTTCTCCCTTTTCTAAAATTTTTCCTATTTTCTCTAGGGTTATTAGATAGTTTTTGAAAGCAAAGTATTAGTAAGAAAGAGGTGAGTAAGAGGTGTTAGTTATTTACGGTGAGGAGATATGAATAACGATCTCTGCTTGGATTAGTCATGGTATAGGAATGCACGGTTTATCTTATCGAGGAGATAGCGAGAAAGGTGGTGGAGTAGTCCATGGCTTGCGTTACACGGTGGAGGTTGATTTTGTCTATTCGTTTAAGTTTTTAGTAGCAGGAATTTGTCAATTACTGTTACTGATGACTTATCTTAATGGGGGATTAATTATTAGTGTATATATATCTATTGTGTGGGTGATCATGTGAAAAAGCGATTGAAGTATTAGTAATAACATCAAGAACAAGGTAACTATGGTGGTTATGTCGGTCTGGAGGTTATTGCTCGGGGATTCTTTGTGCGCAAACAATAATCTTTTAAATTAATATTTTTCAGCAACAACTTTGATCGAGTCGGTAAGGAGGAGCGCGAGTGGGTACGCTCGGTGGCCGCGAGACGACGGTGGCGCGACATGCCTTAAGGCTACCGCGGTGTACTGCTTTAGGGACTATGAATGAGTTTGTTACGCTTTTTTGTTGCACAGGTGGGTTTAAACCTTTAAAATTTTAGTGTATCGCGGTTATTAATCATTATTTTATCCTTATTTGCTTTTCGTCGACAGGTTTAAGCATAGGTCTGCCAAGCTAGTAATATACTAGGATTTGACGTTAATAAATTGTATTATAACAATGGCTTATTAGGTAAGATGGTAAGTGGTTAAATTAAGTCTCTGTACTTAATAGCTATGGTACAATTAGGTATATATATATATATATATCATTAGTCTATCCATTAAATATATTGAAAATGAAGCTGTAAATTATATATGACTTATTACTGTCTTCCAGGCCTTCCTGCAATTGTTTGGCAGTTTAGAAGGTCGCCATCAAATATTTTTAAAGAAATGAATTATTAGGTCAGATGTATATATATGTATATATCATAGATGAAGTGTATTATTTCATATAATAGGATACAATATACTGGTTATATATATATATATATATATATATAAGAAAAGGTATAACGAAATCGAGAATTATATAAAAATATCGGTTATATAGGGTGTTAAATAAGTGAGTGTGGTGCAATTTCAAAAGTGTAGTTATGTACGTATACTATATGCGCATAAGTGCGTCATTGGAGAGAGTAGGGTATTAAAATATTATTGTTACAGGTTCCGACGAATATAGAAGGCGCTTGAGATGTAGGATACAGATAGCTCGTGACCTGTTGGTTAGCCAAAAACAGTGACAAAGAAAGGTGCGTGCCTGACGACCTTGTTTCTTTTCTTGATTCAGTTATCCATTAAGTGGAAATCTTTACGGCAATTAGATTTTGGAAGAAAAATTTCCTTCTTTATGCCTCGGAATAGCGGGATGTTACACCAGCAAGATTGAGGTGCGTGTGAGACGCGCCGACCCCAAGCGAGATTATGCGTACGAGGCCGAAAACGAGGCCTTTCGAGACGCCGCGATCGTGGTGAACTTGCGTTGGATGAACGAGCGCACCACTTGCGAACATCTCAGCTGTCGAGCAAAATATGCGAGAACGGGCACGTGCGTGTCGGGCGATATGTCTCGCGTGTGGGCTTCCGGCGATAATACGACGTTAACATCTTGCGAACCGGCGTGCTACATGGTTCGCAATAGTCGTGTCACAGGGCATTCGGCCGTAGGTGATACTGTGACCAAACGCTACGAAGAAACGATGTATCTCGTGATGAATGTAGCCACGGGCGAGTACAAACCGTATACGGCACAATCGCCCTACATCAGCCCAACAACAAATAAGTTGCCGCCGTCGTCGCCGCGGTCGCCGCCGCCGCCGATCCCGTACGAGCGATTACTGCCAAACCATGAGCGAAACGTTGATGCGACGCGCCAGGAACCCGACATGCCGCAATTAGAATATGATCCCGCGAGTGACTCATGCGAATTGGCCAATGTCACGCTCGAAATGTTTGCCACACTGCCGGCACTTCGTATGGCGCCGGGCGAGAAACCGGTGTGCCGTTTGAGCAATTTTGCCATAGGTGACGATTTGGTTCGAGCTCGGCCAGACAAGAGCACTTTGCATCATTCGCTCGCGTCGAGCACTCTGGACCGCACGATCGTTACCGCGCGGCATTCTCGTTCGTACTGTGAAGCTTTTCACAAGAACTTCGATCCCAAGACATGCACGTGCGAAGAGTCAATCTTTGATCGAATACTATCGTACACGTTCATCGGTTTTGCTCTAGTGCGTCTGATGCGCCACGCGATCTACGGTGACGATTGCGACCGGCGTCGACGAAGAGGAGCGCTGTAGACGCGGGCGCGGTACCTCTGATGAAACGTTCTCGAGCTCATTGGTACATGGACGTGGACCAAACGTGGTGCCTTCCACGACCGAATATGCTCTTGAGCGATTTGGGTCTAACGGACGACGATCACATGTGGACGAATCAAGGCAGCGGTCGCATCGAACGAGCTACTCCCGCGGACTTTCGCACGGGTGGCGACAATTCGCACACTGCGCGCGACGACCGCCGGCGGACGCGTCGTGACACAAAGGTGGCTGCTGCGGTGGTAACACCGGGCAATATCGTCGCGAAAAAATACTGCGGCGCCACAATGTAACATCTGGTCGTTCGCTGAGCGAGACCGATACGCGTGCCTCAGCACGCAAAGTGATACAGATGATCGTTGTCGAAAAACATACGGTGAAAACGACGACAACACGTGTTCGCCGCGACGCCACCAATCTCAGTTCTCAACCGAACAATTGGCACAAACCTGTGGTTGGAATACTACTGCACGATGATGGTGATTATGCGGATAGCGGCGATAGCGACGATGACGATCGCAGGTTGCTGGATTTCGATCAATTGTACGAAGAGATCCGCGGCAATATGCTGCGCGGCTCGGTCATCAACGCTGACATACTGAATACATTGTCTGCAGAGGTGCGAAACATTCTGATTTCGATCACCATGGAGACTTTTGTGCGCAAAATGCTCAAGCTAGGCTTTAATCGAGCGCTTCGCTTCGTAGGCCAACGTTTATCAGGTGTTGTCTCGCGCCAGTTGTTAGCGCTAGCAGTGCGCGAAAGCACGGCGCGTATGCTGTCATTTGCGCTGTCTCGCATTACCACGCGACTGCTTCTTGCATTGGGTACCACAGCTAGCGGCATCGGCGTAGTGATTGGCCTGACTGAACTGGTGACCATTCTGCTCGACATTATGCTCGTATTCGGCTGGGATCCGGGGAATTACAAGTCGGAATTTGACAACGCGTCATACGATGACATAGCGATCGGCTGGTTGCGCGAGCGCGAGCGTTGCGACATGCCGCGTTACGATCCGTATCTGCTGCTGGCACTCTTCTTGCGCGATCGCGAAAGTCCGATGACCGAAGGCAACGAGGAAGACGAATCTGCGAGCACGACACCGCGACCAGACGAGCGATTCTTGATTCTCGATCAAACGGACACTCCGTGGTACTTTGCCCAATTTCGCGACGCTGTAGACGGAATGATCAGGGACAATCGTGGTCTCAAACACCAAATCGGCGCCGCTGCTCTCGCAGGTGGCAGCGAACGATCAGCAGCGACAACATCGCCGACAATGCAAACATTGGACGATAGGTCTCGTGAAAAACTGCGTTCACGAGCACCTCGCTTTCACCTCGGTAGAACGCTCGTCGGTCGTGAGAATGAACACCATGACGAGGCCAGCCGTGCTCGTTACAAACGTAGCAAAGACGGCGGCCAAATCGAGAAAGAGGACCCATTGAAGCGCAGCAGACCAATCGTGTCGGATAACGCGATGGTCTGCTCAATGCTCTGGAGCTTGCATTACTTTGCCAATAGGCGTTACAATTCGTTAGGACAGCGCGTCAATACGGATGACGACGTATTGAACGTGAACGACGCTACGGTGGAGCGCGCGGTGCGAGATAACGAATTGGCCGCGTTATTGGCCAGCGCATATACAGTCGACACGTTACCGCGCAATAGCGTGTTGGGTGCAGCACGGCGCAACGTAGCGTCCAAATGCACAGACCTCGCGGTAAACACGGCCACTATGTGTGGCGGTATCGTCATTTCCGCGGCATTTCTTGTGATGACACTCGTGAGTAATGGCGGCGGCGCAGCGTATAATCTCGCGTTATTGCTTCTCGCGATAACGATCATACTGTTGCCTCTCGTCATGTTTACCCTGTCCGTAGATCTCGTAATGGTTCGCAAGCGTACGTACAGCAACGATCGACAAGGTGGCACTTCAGCCGCCGACGTGGATGATTTGGACCGATTGTGCGACGCTTTATGCGATTTTGTACTGAACAGTGTGCATGATACCGGCGACGACGCATCCGCGGATTCAGCTACTGCCATCTCTAGCTCGTGGCTAAGCAGCATCCTCGAGTTCGCTCGTTTCCGTTTGATCAATTATATGCGATCGGAGTTGCAAGTAGTACGCGACGTCTAGTGCTTTAGAAAAAAACGCGGTGCAAAGACAACAACGCGTACAATTGCAATGCGTACCGAGTCACGCGAAGGCGCGCAGAGGAGAACATTTTTAGTAACATGAAGACGCTGCAACACATTCTTGCGTATGAGACGTTCGAATTCGTTCTGGGTGTCATTGTTGTAGTTCTATTCTTACGGTATTTGAACAGCGGTTGAACAGCGTGAGGCACGAAAATGACCGCCGCGGCAACAATATGCGCGTTTCAACTATGCGATACGCATGCCTCAATGTTTGACCTGTTGTTCTCGAAAACGAGTAGAGAAAACGATGGCTACGGAGGTAATAACGCAGGTTGGTATCTCACACGTTTCGGCCGTTCGCTCATTCGCACAGGACAAATGTTACGTCACAGGCGACTAGCGAAGCGATTG